TCGGCGCGCCGCTCCAGGTCAGGGGTCGAGGTCGGGCATAATCCATACGGGCACGAGGGCGGCGAAGGGCCCCCCGACATGTGTGCGAGGTCGATGCAGTTCTAACATTAACCGCGGGCACAGCGCACAGCAACAGCCCCCTTCCCCTTTCCCCAACGGCGGTTCACTAGTAGCCCCCGTTTGGAGGCGGGCTGAGCATGCGTCTCCAGTTAAAAGCAGGTGATATTCGTCCGCTCAGTCACTCTTAGTTCCTTACAAAGAGTGGTCTTCATATTATCTGGAACCATCATATTACGAAAGGATTTCCTTCGTATTACAAAGAACACCAGTTATGTGAAGAGACGCGTGCTCTTCGTATTACAAGGACGAGCCCTTCGTAATACAGAGGATTTGTTTGTATTACGAAAGGTCATAAATTCTTTGTTCGTTACGAAGAGTAGTTCTTTGTAAGAAACTTACACACATTCATACATACCACACGTTTACGCCGGATGTTTTGTTGCCTATACCGTACCGCACGCACAGGGAGTTGCACTGTGAAAAATAGTTCTAGCTTTATATTTTTTACGGCAAAATAGATGCAAGGGGCCAGGGGCCGACAGGGGGATCATTCTCCATAGGGAGTGCGTCCGTCATTCGCCGTTTCTAAGCTGCCAAGTGCAGCCAATGCTAGCTCTCATAGCGCCTGTTAGGTAGGCATCATCTTGTCTGGCAGTGCATGCGTGTACTGCAGGGTTGCCTACACACGATCTCGCAGGCGCCGAGCTCGCGTAAATAACCGAACAAATCTGACGTGAGAAAAACGGAAGTAGGTGGGTTTGCCTATCAAACCTGACCATGGCGACTATACGGCCTTAGCGAGGGATCATCCCGGAAAGAACGTCCGTCATTCGCCGTTACGAACCAGCCAATTGGAGGATCTGCAAGCTCTCGTAGCGCCTGATAACTAGGCAACATCTTGTCTGCAGTGCACGCGTGTACTGTGGAGTGGCCTACCCCGAGTCTCGCAGGCGCTGAGTGTGCCCCCTAATTCGTCGGATTAATATGAGGATAACGGACGTACTTTCTGGTCGATCCCATAGGCAACGCCCTCTAACCGACTAACTGCGGGAGCGAGCAGGTGGGGCAGGGAGACTCAACCACCTGGTATATAAGATCTCGAGCATTCTCGGCAATGTAGGTAAAAGTCTCAGTTGAGTTGAGGCACGCGCACGCACGCACGCACGCACTCGCGCACAAAACATACTCACGCGCGTGGAGTGAAATGGAAGGGACGCAGTAGAAGGCGGCATTACTTTCAAAAAAAGCCCCAACACACCACGGGAACGGCAGCACCCAAAAAGGACGTTCTCCTGACTCAAGCACTCGGTTCCACCAAGACGACGACGACGACGCCGGCGGCAGCGCGGCGACGGCTGCGCCGGCATCAACATCAGCTCGTCTCCTCTCTCATGCAAAATAAGGGACGCGCCGCCGACAACCCCTTTGGCGGGTCGAGGAGCTGAGTAGATGAAATAAAATAAAAAATAAAAACACACGGCGGCCGATGCGTGCTATGAATTCCCAGTCCCGGCGCGACGGCGGTGGAGGGCGGGGCACCGGGGGGGCTCTTTCTGGTGCACCTCCTCATTCAATCCGACCCGGCAGGCAGGGCAGGCCACGAGGCGCTCGAGTCGTAGCTCGAGGGCGCAGCGAACAAAATTTCTAACACGTAATAAAAAGCGCGGAAGAGCTGCGGGGGCATGGCACGGGGAGAGGCGCAGGGCAGGGGAGTCTGCCGCCTGAGGCCCCCGAGGCGCGCGGCGGGCGCGACTAACTTCTGATGTAGTCTTCGCGCCACGTATGGAGGACGGCGCGGTGGCAAAAAGGGGCCCGCAGACGCGCGCGAGACTTGGCCGAGTTGTCTGCCGCCATTATGCAAAAGCAAATCCCTCTCGCCGTCCGCGCCATCAGAGGGCGTACCGTACATCTGCCCATCTGCACCACGCCATCTGCACCACGACTTTTTTTTTACCTTTTTTTCTGTTCCCTTTCTCTTTTTTTTTTTTTTTTTTACCCCAACACGATGACGACGGGGGTGGTTGCGACGAAATAGACAAAGTTACAGTCGCCGCCGCCACAAGTTGTGGGGCAGCCGCGGCGGCAGCAGCAGCAGCGGCGGCAGCACCACCACCACGACCAGTTCCACCACCACCAGCACCACCACCACGGTCCAGCTCGGGCGGCGGGGTATTGCCGAAAGGGGTGGCGCGCGCGGGGTACAGCCGCACTACACAACACAGCTGCCGGCCGAGAGAGTCTCTGTCTACACGATACACAAGGGTATAGACACAGTGCCCTGCGTATCTAAGTCATTCCCCATTGCGGTGATGCTACAAGACACATGCACTAGCGGTTTCGGACAAGCAGGATAAAATCACTTTTCACGATAAAATTACTTTAGAACCGGTTAACAGCAAACCCATTTACGACGAAGCAGGCGGCCGGCGATGCACATTTCGGCGGGGTGTTTCACCTGTAGTTTGCGTTGTGCGCACCTGCAGTTGGTGGGGTGCCCCTGCAGCTGGCGTACTGCACCTGCAGCTGGTGTGGGGTTCACCGCGTCTTCGACGTTGAACAGACGGTCCGACGGAGCAGGAAGTGAGAGCTGGCCCGATGTGACACAGCCGGAATATCAAACACACTCAGCTATGCCGACATCTTGCCTTCTCTTCACTTCCAAAGGGAATGTCAGTCAGGGGCGCTCGATGCTCGCGAGCGGGAGCCGGGCGGCGCGTCGGCGGCTCTGCTCGGACAAAACGACGGAGGGAGACAAGTTAGTGTGAGGCCGGTACCAGCCGGTACTCGCGCCGGCACTTCAGAGTCCGCATTTGCCTCGAGTCCCTCGCCTCTACTTTTCACACATCCAACGACTTGGCTTGAGAATGAATACACAAACAGGGAGAGACTCGAGTTCCAAATACGGGGTCGACGCTCTTGCGCAGTTCTTTTTATTTCGAAAACTATGACGAACAGAGAGAGGGTGAAAGTAAGAAAGGTGCCACACACTAAATGGCGAGGGACTATTTTCGTACGTATGCCAGATGTGCCTTATGTGCACATCTTAACCAATTACAAATTTGTATCTTCGTCACATACAAAATACAGCATTTGTAAGCCCAGGAGGTATATCTCCGTACAGACAAATTTGTATCTGATGAAGATGTGCTCAAAGACACATATAACCTAGGCACAAAAATTGTCCCTCCCCATTGAGGGTACACTCACAAAAAACTTACCTACTGTTAAAAGTAGTTTGATTTGCTCGGTTGTACTTTTTTTTAGATAAATGAAACGTGGAAATTTTGTGGCTTGGGTAATAAAAATAAAATACAATCGCCGGCCGTCAGGAGGATGCCATCACGTGAAAGACAAGGAGAGGTGCGAGTGGGAGTGAGACAGAGCGAGCGGTGTGCGCCGCATGTAAAGCACCCCGAGCTCAGCCATGAATGGGGCTGCCTCCGCCGTCTCCATGAGGTGAGGAGTGGCGGCAGGCGGCGCACGATACTCCGCACTCGGCCGCCGCCGTCGCTTTCGAACGCGCCTCAGACAGAAACCGGACGTGAAGGCGCGCCGCGGCGGCGACCGAGAGGGAGAAAAGAGAAGAAAAGCAGGAATCACAGTAGTAATAGCGAACACATTGTACGACGACCCCCTAGCAACCAGATGTCGTGGGTGACATGATCACGGGAGGCGAGCAGTACAATCACGAGGGCAATCGATGCAATCGGTGCAATCACGGCGCGACACGACTCACTTGCAGAGCTGGCCGCGGCACGGGCGTGGCGGTGCGGGAGCCGTCGGGGCCCGGGGCGTGCTGTCGGCGGGGACGCTACCCACCGTCTGGCGTGCTCCACGGGACGGGCGCCTAAAGCACGGGCCTCCTGCTACTCGCACCTACCCGCCAACCCCCCTCCTCCTCCTCGACACGGGTGGGGAGGGGGAAGGCCCACCCTAGTGTGTGACCCTCTGAGCAATGCAGCTAGAGCCACCTGTGGTCACTCAGGTTGGCACTCAACGGGGTTCCCAATCGCAGTTGAACACCAAAAGACTAGGCGACAAGGTTTAGTCGACAAATCATCCAATATCTTCCTCAGAAACAACACTCGGTCAAACAGTTTGTAATAGCGAATAACGCACTTAGCGAAGCGAGACACGACAACCGAAACTAAGTCAATAATCAACTACGACAGCAACCGACATACCTATCGCTTCGATATCTTTCCGATATATCCTGTTTCTGAATGGGCGGTGTGCTGCGTTCAGGTTCCTATTTCATCTTCCGCCCGTTGGAAACACATGGAGTGTGGGCCAGGCAACCCGCACACACGCTTGCACACTGTGCAGCATGACTGCAACAATCCACGGGGAATGCCAACACCAACACCGTGGTGTTCACATATTTTGCTCTACAGAAGTCCGAATGTTTCATTTCGACTCATCCGACCCGACATATGGCTCTTTTCTAGTGGCCTTCCCCAGTGGCTCCGCCAAGATTTACCGCAAAAATTTGCCTAGAAGAAAACGCATCAAATCGAAACTAATGTTGACTGAGTAAAGAACTAGACCACGACTCCGCTGTATATAGCTGTGTGTAGCTGTTTGTCTGTTGGTTATTTTGTCACACGTTAGTGCAAACGGCTTCTCTCTGGCACGGACGGGCGAGGAAGGGAGGGGGGGGGGGGGGGGCCGGACCGGTGCACGGAGCTACCCGCTGCTAAGGGGGCGCTAAAAGGTTTAGCGCAACGGCACCGCGCTTGTTCGAAAGACCCACCTCCCCCCCTCTCTCTGCCCGTCTCTGTCGCACACGCATGGCCTTCCGGTACGAGTGTGACAGAGACAACGATCGGAAGGCAGGCGCGCGGAGGGCCAGGAGGGTTGCCGCGGGCGGCGGTCCTCGCCCGGGCCTGGGCGCCGCCAAAAGCCAGGCCCACAGGCTGGACTGGACTACAGCCGCACATAACGTTCGCCGTGTTCATTCATGGGTAGCATAGAGGACGCACTGCTGGAGCTCCCGGGTGGTTCCCAGCCGACTGCCTGCTCGGCTCGCCCCGCTTGCAGCTGCGGGTGTCGGGGCGCTGGTAATTGTCTCGCGGCCCATTAGCACGGCTGGACTAAGCGCGCCGCCGACTATCCGACACGACGTACAGCACCACCGGCTCAAAGAGAGCGCGGGCGAGAGGAGGACGTGTTGAAGGGCAGCATCCGTGTTGTGTCGCACTGCTCTACCGGAGCCGCCGCAACTATTACTGAGATTCGATACCGCAAGAAACGGAACGAATCCATAAACATTCTAGTAGTGTAGGCAGACTCACCATGCATTGCCTTCGGCGAATCCCCCGCACACACCGGTCGCATCTCCTGACGGATCGCACAGCGGGGGGAAACAACACAGCGGACAAAACGTTTCAAAACAAATAAATACCTCACGTGGTCGACGCGACTGACGGGCCCGGTCCGGTTGCCGGAAACAGATCCCCCGACGACCCACCTTGCCAGTTTGGCAAACCGTCAGCGCTGGAGATTGCGTGGCTCGCAGTAGTTTACAAATATTTCTGAAACAATTCATTAACATCTTATTTAACTTTAGAATTAAAGTCACGGCGAACTTCCATTGTTCACTGTCTGATTAAGGTGCGAACTTTTTTAAAAACTTAGGGTTTCCGAAAGATTAATTTTGTGGCCGGAAGTCTGGACACACCCTGCTTCCTCCCACCTCCAGCTGTTCCAAATGTACGAGGATGGGGTGACCGTTATGGTTGGTCTGACGAAAAACAGCAAACAGCACACTACTTTGCTAAAACGCATGGTGAAGATAGAGGCGCCTGTGTTATTTCTCAGAACGACTATCTCAGATCACACAAGAACTCTGCCTTCGAAGTGACAACGACACAAGTGAAGACGCTCCTTCAGCCAGAGCTGAAATATGGCTTCGACCAGCAGTTCTCCGTAAATGTCTAGTCCCGATTTGCACTCACAGGTCATGAGTTGAAATTGAACCATCTCTCATTTGGTCTGACAGAGACAGTTCTGCAACACCCTTGGAGCAACATGGGGCGCATTCTGCGGCGAACTCCCCCGGCAACTTCACCTCGGATGAGAGTGGCGATGATTCTTCATCAGCCGTGCTTTCGGATAGGGGCTGTGGAGAAGATGAGCCTGGTGAAAGCGGCGAAACTGGTGAAACCTCAGACTCCGACACGGACAGAGACGAGGTGAGGGGCGAGGTGGTTCTAAACTCTTGAATCTTTCCAGTACAAAGTTCATGTTCATGAGTATGAGATTTTTCGATTTTGGGTACAGTGTGTTTGCTTATTTCTTTCAGGTGATTTTATCGGTGTACTGGAAGAATGGGAAATTAGGGGCTGCTGCGTACAGCTTACAGAATCCAGTGGTAGGTGGCTCTGACCTCATCGTTAGACAACAAATATTTGTATTTATAATACATTTTTTGCAGATTTATGTCCTAAATGATAGTGTTGATGATTTCCTTCTTGGTTTCAAAGTGCTGCAGAGCCTCTTCCTTCAAATCCAACCCACGTAGGACCATGACCTACCCAGATTACTTTTGTGCGCTAAAACAATTGTAGAAAACCTGACTTCTTTTTTCTGTGTTTTTAGACAAGTAGTGACTTGCAAGAACATGCAGCAGAAATTTATTTCTCTGCTCAATAATCTTTTGCTTGGAGAAGTGGAATCGAGAGATCAAGCTCTTCATGCTAACTTACATCTTTTTCCTGACGCAGAGTTCAGTAAGATTACAATCTGTCTTGAATCTGAGATATTTGAATAACTTGATCAGAAATAAATGATTTCTTCTCGTGTTGTAGGGAATGACAACAGTCTTCGACAGGTATTCTTGTTAAAGCTCCCGGGAGAGCCAGACGAGTATCCTGAGGAGGACCACAAACAGTACATTCGCTCTTTAATTGATACAAGCCAGGATTCAATGATAAATGCTTTAGCACGTCTCTTAAAGTACTTGAACAATAATCTGGCGTGGTTATGCCTGTCTCAACAAGAAAATAAAATACTTGGAGTCAGAAATATGTGCATGTACAGTGTTATTTATTTCAAATATTTTATGCTGAGTCAGTCACTCTTGAAGAATTTTGATGAGCCATAACAATGCTTTGTTTTATATTTCAAGCGATCAGCAAGTTTGGATAAATTATGAAACATATCGAGCTCTTCAAATATTTACACATACTGCTCATCCATCACTTTTCAAGTGGACTTCTGATGCACATAAGGAGGGATTGAGTATTTTTGGTCTATTTAATCGTTGCAGTTCAAAACTTGGCTCTAAGTTCATGAGGTATGTCCTATGTGCTGTTGTAATGCTGGAACATAAAATGTTTTCTTGTAATTTCTTCTATTTTTTAGAGCCACAATGCTTCAACCTACAACCAATATTGATGTTTTAAACAAGCGACACGAAGTTGTCACTTTCTGTATGAATCCTGCACACGAAGATGTTGTTAAAAAAATGCAGGGATGTATTCGTCAAGTTCAGAGCATTTCGGTGAGATTATGGATCTACTGTAGTTCTATTCTTCTGCTCTTTCAGCAAAGTTTAAAAAATAATTGCTTATAGGGAATGCTTCCTCGGCTACTGGCAGCACAGGCTACGATTCCTCAGTGGAAATCACTAAAGAAGGTCAGGGCTCTAATGTCTGTGAAGATTTTACTATCTCTTATTTGGTTTCCTTTGAACATTTTCTTTTTTATCTTTTCCAGACAAACCATAATGTCCTACTCCTTCGTGAAATTTGTTGTCAGTTTGCAGATAGTGTGCCATTCTTTGAGGAGGTAGTTTTCTCTGAACTTTTATGGCCATGCAAACTCAATTTAATTTATGTATATTTGTAAATAATAATTATTTTGTTTTGCACAGGCAAGATCTGCTATACCTGAATCCTTGTATCGAATTGGACACATCATGAAGAAAATAATAGATTTTCAAACATCTGAGGAAATGAAGAGATTTGTAGTCCTTCCTGGAGTTGATAATGATCTAGATAAAAGTAAGAAAAGAATGTTCTGACCGATTGTTATTGGCGTCTTTGAGTCAACCACTCAAAATAGTCTTCAAACTTTTTTCAGTGAAGCATAAATACGCTAATTTGAGTGATATGATGATGGAGCTATCACCATTAGAACTACAAGATTTACCAGATTACATAGAGGAATGTGCTGTTCTCTTTCTACCTGAAATTGGGTTTTTAGTTACCGTTCCTATGTGGAAAGATGATCTCACTAAAGAAGAAATGCATATACCTGGATTTAAATTTAAAGTAAGCTTTACTCACAATTTTTATTTAATTTTAGGGTGAACTCTTCTTTTGATTGGTACTACCACTTTTCAGTTCATAGCAGATGGAAAAATACATTACAAGAGCCCTCGTTGCAGAGGTATTAGTCATTAAATTTTCAAGCTTAAAGATGTATAGATATCAAAGCTATTGTAATTAATTTTTTTATAGAGCTTGACTCATCACTGGGGGATATATATCTTCGAATAAGTGAATTAGAGTTACGAATTATGCTCAGGCTTGTGCAGTATATTCAACAACACATAGATGCTCTTATTGATTCTCTAAGCTATGTTGGAGAACTAGACTGGTAAGAGGAAGACAATTTTTCTGTCTCATGCATGGTGGGGAAAAAATTATAGGTTGTTTAGTTCAGTTTTCTCTCCATTTTCAGCCTAATATCTTTTGCGGAGGTAGCCAAAGAATTTGGGTATGTTAAACCCACAATGACTTCAGGACAAGAAATATTCATAGAGAAAGGAAGGCATCCACTACAGGTAAAACCTTACTTCACACATGAACTGGTTGATTTATATACCAGAAGGGAATTAATTCTGTTAAATTTAAAACAGGAATGTTGTGTAAACACTTACGTTCCCAACGACACTTTCTCAAGCAAATCTCATGGACTAGTTAAAATTCTAACAGGACCAAATGCCAGCGGAAAAAGTGTTTATCTCAAGCAAGTAGGTTCATGATATTTTAAACCTCCGTCTTCAGGATTCTCTAAAATTCAACCACATTTCTATGCATTTTATTCTCTGAAAAAATTAAGGTTGCAGTTATAGCCTACCTTGCGCACACTGGAAGCTTTGTACCTGCCAAGAAAGCAGTGTTAGGAGTCCTGGACCAAATTCATACCAGAATACAAACTACTGAATCAGCTGCTTCTCAGTTGTCAGCATTCCTTATCGACCTAAGGCAGGTAATACAAGGAGGGTACAAAGCATTGATGAGATAAATATTTTTAGTATATTAGGAATTTTGGATTAAGACACTTTCTTCGCATTTCTATGTCAAGATAAATACAGCAGTCTGCATGGCAACAAAGTCTTCTCTTCTAGCAGTAGATGAATTTGGAAAAGGAACTTCTGAAGTTGATGGGCTCTCCCTATTGACTGCTTTTCTCACCCATCTTATAAAAAGGGGTCCAAACAATTGTCCTCATGTTATTCTTTCAACTCATTTCCACCGTCTTGTTGACCTTCTTGGCGATAATCCACTGGTTAAAAGTTATGTAAGTACTGAGTGTGTCTTTCTTCTATAATTCAATGCAAATAAGTTACTGATTCTTCAGGTTATTTCCAGGTTCTAGAACATATTGTTACTGATGGAGAGCTGGTGTATTTGTTTCAACTAAAGGCAGGTCAAATTATGTCGAGTTTAGCCATAGAAGTAGCAAAAGCAAACGGAATTCAACAGGCACAAGTGAATAGAGCAAGTGAGGTATGACACCTGAAAGTTAACCTACATCTTATAATTTTGTGAGATCCATATTTTTTTTCAACTAACATTTTTACCTGCAGATTTTAAATGCCTTGAAAGGGGGGACTTCGATCAACCCAATTTTAAACCACAAGAAAATGCAACCTACAAAACCGTAAGATTTGCAATTACGTTTTACTTTTAAATTTAAGCAATGGTTTTCTAGGTATTTATTTACCTAATGGCTGCTTTTTGATTCTTCAACAGAGAAGAGGACTTCATGAAAGATTTCTTATCTCTTGAAATAGACAAAGACCCACAAGCCATTGAGGAATTAAAAACTAGGTTCTTGAAACTAAAGTGAAAAACATAAATTATATGGATAAACACACTGAAGTATAACTAGAAGATCACAATCTTTATTAAACTTTTCCTATACAATAAAAAGTGGGTTAAGAACCGGTTGTTGACATCTTAACTAGTGATGTCAATTTGAAAAAACAAAACAAAAAACTTTTATCTCAATAAAAAAGTCACTGTTAGTATGAAGCCAAATGAACAAGAGAAAGAATGTACTAGCAAAACGTTCTGAACTATTTGTATTGTAATTTCAACTAAGTATCTAAAAGCTGAATTCTCTGTTTAGAATACTTAATCCTAGATAAGTCACACTTCACAGCCTTGCCAAAATAAAAGTCACTATTGGCCAGGGTGTTACTAAACATTAATTGTTATCTGACAGAATATGAAGAGATAGTTAAAAAAATAAATCTTAATGTACTCTAACATATTTAAGAGATGCAGAAGATGATATTTCCAACATATCTTTGAATTATATCTCAGCTTATCTTTGAAATGATTATATTTTCACTACCACAATGCAACCTCGTATCATTCACAGATATTTGTGTACATGCAAGCTATGTGTTACCTAATAAAGTGGCACTTCACACCATCCTCCTGGATAATAAAACTATTTGTTTCCCTTCAAATTTATTAGATAGGCCAAATTTGACTTATCTTACAACATTAAAAATCCACTTACCAACAAATAATCTGAAACGAACAAATCAAAACACTAACATAAGTACTTCTTATGAAAGAGGAAAACGAATTTAAAAAAAAAACAACATTCAGTGGCTCATGTATACTGCTTATAGTCATGATTATCATGGCAAATATTAAGAACTATTGATCTTAGATCTTTAAAATGGGTGATACTTAAGAACAGAGCACATTTTTGAAGCAGTCTCTTATGCCATTATTACCAACAAAAAAAGTTCATAGGGAAAAGAAAAAATAACATTCTAGAACCATTTTTTAAAAATGTTCACACTGTCTAGTTCAATTAAAATCTCACCAATGAGAAAAAAAAATCTCATTTGATAGAAAAATCACAGACTCCTAATTGAGACAATATCTTTCTCGATTATAGTACCCTAGCTGTAATAAGCATTCAGGGGTAAAGAAATTATATAAAATAAATTAATTCAGAAACACAAATTATGGAACTAACTTACAATACATGAAAGGAAAGAATCAACTTGATTCTTCTGCTGTTCCTTCGTAAAATAAAATGCTTTCTTAATTCAATATATTGCACTGAGTACAAGTTTAACAATACTCCCCAAAAGGGAAAAGAAATACATAACAATAAAAAAAATGTCAACAACAGACTACAACATTGCTGTAGGAAATTTTATCTGAATATAGTGACCAATTTGTAACTCTTAAGGTCACTTCTCACAAACTTTAACTTAAACATCAACACCTACCATAACTGCAAAAACAGTAACGCACTGAACTTTTTCATCAAATTAGAAAGCTGCCTTCATAAGATCATAGCAGGCCCTCATGATGTCTTCACTCAAGTTAGACATACCATAATTATTATGGGAAGTAAAATCTAAAGAGGAGCTAATACCCTGCTTTGATTGTATAATTTGTCCTTCTTGCAAACTAGCAGAAGAGAAATAGATTATTGTGCTTATATGCAGAAGAACACAATTTTGATATGCCATGTCATGTCACATCTGTGTTTACTTCAGCAAAAGACAACTGACCAACCCAAACATTGAGCAAAGTCCATTCAAAAACAAATTGAAAATCAAAAACAAATAAACAAAACACTGCACTTCAACAATGTACACTCTTCAGGTACATTCCCCCACAATAGTTAAAGATCGTTGTACAATAAGGCATTAATCTCTTGCTTTTCACACATTGCAAACTAACTGAGATTACACTCTCTATAAAGGTGCTCGAGAGATACTGGTAACTAATAAGCATCAATTATGCAACCTCAAATAGTATTAAAGCTATGGATTAAAAATTAGATCGCATCATATTAAACCTACAAAGGTCTACTGCAAAACTATGTAATACCATGTACAGGGTTCTATCATCGCCAGCGAAAAGGGTTTGAGCATAATGAACATAACAGAAAACATATTGGTACAGGGAGGGGCAGAAAATCATAACAGACAATAATGACCAAACCGGACTATTTCAAACATCAGCAGGTTTCGCGGGCGTCTGGGGCACAAAGCTCAGCACTTCTTCATACACCAACTCTGGAATTGGGGGAGCAAACAGTGTGAACATACTCTACAACACAACAAAACTTCGAAGTGTGGTAAAAATACTATCAAGACACTCACCTTTCCATTTTTCAACTGGAATATCCATGTCTTCAAAGCTCTGATCATACGGAGCAGAGACAGGTTCATCTGATGGATCAGCATACTGCTTCAAGTATGGGTGAGCCAGAGCTTTCTCTGCAGTTATGCGCTTGTCAGCATCAAGTTCCAACATCTTCTCAAGAAGATCAATGGCTAAGTAAATACAGAACAAGTATAACACTTGAAACATGTAAAATGGTAAAGAGTACAACAAACAACAACAAAAAACAACCAAAAAAAACTTACCAAGTGGATTTGCGCCCTTAAACACATCTTTGAACTCCTTCTTCTTCAATGGTGGTAGAGACTGGATGTAGTTACGTGCCTGTTGTCAAACATTTACAGTAAATTAAATATCTTTGAAAATGATCAGCCTATCTTACAAATGAGAAAGTTAGGTGGATTTAAGTTCACATTCACAAAAGACTTAACAAAAACCAAAACCAAAACCACTTTTGAAGGACCTACAAAATTTTAAAGCTGCATAGAAATGGGAGAGGGGGCAAAAGAAGAAGTTGTAGGTAAACTTATTAAGACCACAAAACTAATGGAATAAATGCATACCTCTTGACTTGTAATTTTTGCTAGAGTTTCCTCAGAAGGTGTTCCACTGAGCACTAGCACTCTTGTTAAGTGGTCAATGTCTAAAAGCACAGTTAAGGAATAAAAATCCACACTGAAAGTCTACCACAGATCACACACCAAAGTTCAAGTTTCTCTCGATTGAGCCAACTACTTGCAATACACCAGGTTTGTTATAGGCCATGAGGACTTATCATTCAATTGGAAAAGCAAACCAAGAAACTTTGCACCTTATATAACCACACCAGACAGCCTAAAACCAGTAATAAAACAAAACAACAAAAATACACCACATGCCATGCCACGCCACACCCAGAAAAGGAGATTGTAACAGGTTTAAACGCCCAAAACTAATTAAACATAAAGTGCTGCAGTACAAAAGGGACTTTTATACTTTAACTATACAGGCCCACAGAACTCGACAAACAATCCATGCTATGATATTCAATATGCTTTATCAGAGCAAATGAGCTACAGCATTACTAGAATTTAAAGGGGAGCAAGATGCACTTCAACTCCAAACCAGTAACACACACCAAGTTCACTGTCATTTGTAGTTTAAAACTCTGAAGGAAAATGTGGTGGGCACTTACATGTTCACTGGTGATTTTCTTCATGAATTCATCTTTTGGTGTACCAAGGATCTCCATAATTAAATTCAATTGGTGAATATCTAAGCACACTGCTAAGGGAAACACACTTAGACATTTCATGCAGTGAATGCCTGCAATCTGACCAGAACAATAGGCCATCGAGGTCTGATGCAATCAAGCCCTATACATCTATCAGCATCAAAATAAGTTATTATAACATTAATTTATCTTAAGTTCGTCAGTAAATAAATGTTCAGGGCAACTTTTTTAAAAAACATTGTTCTGCTCAGTTCTACAGAACATACAATTATAAGCAAATCATTGTGTTCATCTTCAGCAAAAAGTGCACAAAAATTTGGTAAGACATAAACAAAATAAAAATTCAAAGCATATCCACAAACATCAAGTTCCTTGACCACAGAAACACTAAATCTATTGAACACAAAGGATACGATCTGTTCCAGGGAAAAGTGTTCTTCCAGTCAGCAGCTCTGCCATGATGCAGCCAACTGACCATATATCCACTGATAAGAATGAGAGAAAAAATAGTATTTAAAGAATGCTTTATATGGCATCCCGTTATGGCACAAATTGAAACTGTGTATCACCTGTTTGATTGTATCTCATCCAATTGAGCATGATTTCAGGAGCACGGTACCACCTTGTTGCCACATATCCTGTCATTTCATTTTCAGTTGGCCGAGCCAAGCCAAAGTCTAGGATCTTAAGCTCGCAATCCTCATTAACAGCAATGTTGGAGGGTTTCAAGTCCTAAAGTATATGAAGAAAAGATACGGGAATGAATAAGATCTAAACCATTTGTCAAAAACTGAAAAAAAATTGATAAAAACTTCAAGAATTTGTACCCGGTGAATGATGCCTGCTGAATGGATGTACTTCAAGCCACGAAGTATTTGATACACCAGAAATTGAACATGCTCGTCAGTCAGCTTTTGAGTGCGCACAATGTTGTTCAAATCAGCTCCCATCAAATGGGTGACCAGATACCTATGTTATAGTAAGGTAGAATGTGAGAAGCATAAAAGTTCAAATGTAACTGTATTTTCCTCTTTCACCAAATACACCTACACTTGATTGAAGTCAGTAAGAGTTGTTGATGGATGAAATACATCAAGTAAACCAATCACCTAAATGAAGGGAAGAAAAGTTTTAACTTACATTACATGTAATTTCATTTAGTGTCAAAGATGAATAAAAGAATACATTACATTCTCATGGTTCATGTGTTTAAGCATACGGAGTTCCCGGTAAGTCCGTTTGGCATGAACAGCTGACTGAAATGGGCGAGCTAATTTCTTTATGGCAACTTTGCACCCAAGGACACTGTCCACTGCCGAACTGAAACACGAAAATAGAAAATGAAAATAGAGAATACCTGAACATGTTCTTCTACAAGAAGATACAGGCTGGGCCATTTCCCAGAGCATCCTTTAATCAGTTTAAGTGTACACATAATACAGAATGTAAAGTTTCAAGGAAATATTTGAAGACATTTTATCTTTGGGAAGTATGAGTGAGTTGTTTAACTAATTTTTGGCATTTTTCATAAAAGGTAGTAACTAGAAACAACTTACAGGAATAAATTATAGGTAAATTATACCCTACTAACTATAACTACAAAAAAATTACTTGATACCTAGTTAACAAAACAAAAAAATAATTCAAGGTAATGGCTGCAAAATATAGTCTAGTACAGTAGGAATATAGTACAGCTACTGACTTCTAAATCTCAAGGACAACAGTAGGGTTCTAAATTTGACAAGTTAATGAACCGAAGTGGATAAAGAGACACAGAGAACTACAAGAATTACAATGGCAGGTTGAAAAACAAACTTCAACTATGAGAGGCTACTTATAACCTCAAAACAGACTTCACAGCCGAGCGCAAACACATAAATAGAAGCAAGGGATCAGCCAGGACATGTCCAGGACCCAGCAAAGATAGCCGACCTCGATCCAGCGCAGGCTGTCGAGATTGTCGCTTTGATAGAAAGCTCGCGGGCCCACACTCACCAAACTTGGCCGTAGGCTCCCGACCCGACGGGCGTCAGCATTTGATACCGCTCCGGCACCTCCCATTCCGTGCGATTGATCTCCACTTTGTAAAACGAAGGCATGGCGTCTCGATGTTGTCTGCGGTGGGGCAAGGAGGTGTCAATGGTGCCTTTGCTATCTAAATCAAACTCTGTTGGAACTCTAGTCAGACGCCATTAACCACATTTGTACACAGACGATGAGCTAGGAGGCGTGCGGGAGGGGAGGGGGCGTGGCGGGGAAGACAGACTTGATTGGCGCCAGATAAAGCAGAGGGGAGGTCGCGGCCGGGGCGCCGCGCTGGCTCGGGCTGCCGGGAGGACCCGGCGCCATCCTCGCGCAAACCGCTAATAGCAAAAAATAATAATCAAGTTTTCTGATACCACAAATCTAGAGAAAGTGTCGGTGCGAAAAAAGTGTTTTTTTTTTCGATCGCCGACCAATGCGCACCAAGATTGATCGGGGGACCGCAGTGGGTGCGACCCGGTGGCATGCCAGACTCACCCACGCGAAGGGGAAGGACAGCCCAGCTGACCTTGTCCTGCTTATGGAGTCCTTAACAGCGCTCGAATCAGGAAACCTTGATGACCGTGCATTGTGTGTTTAGAGTGTAAAACAACACCTCGTTGGGCCGCACGCGCGCCGCCGTGGGACCTGTCGCAAAAAATGAAACAAACACACAGGAGAGATGAGACAAAGCCAGGCGACCGGGGAGGGGGGGGGGGGCTCGCATCTCCTTCCTTCTGGACCCGCGGCCTTGCCGGACCGACTGGGCTGCCTACCTAGCCGGCGCCTCCTCTCAATGATACACCTGCTGTGGACTCGCAGGAACTCGAGTCGCCTTTTCCACTGACATGACGCCCTTTCTGATGTCACTGGTGAAAAGTAAAAAGGGCGTAAGTCCACGGACTTCCCAGTGGACTTACGCCCTTTTTTCACTTTTTTACCAGTGATGTAGGGAGACTCGGAAACTCCAAACTGGGTTATTGTGGACGACCGCGCAAGGGTCATCGTGACGGCGAGGGGGAAAGTGCGAACCGATATGCTTTTAATTTGAATTGCAGATTAATCCGTACGATCCGTAGCAGCCCGGATCAGACTCATCCTGTTGTGAGCCAGATGGCATCTCACTGGGTCAGGACTGTAAATAGGGAAACAGCCATACCGCGAGTAGTGACGGAGCGTAGCGGAGCGTGGAGCGTTGGCATGTGCTCCGTGCTCCATAGCCTGCGGTCCAATAAGGTATTCCGGAGAACGGGTAAAGAAGAACAGCACGAATAACAAGGTGGCCCGTGATTCGTCGCCCGGTCTCCCCCTCCACTTGAGCGACGAATCACAGGCCCCTTTGTTATTCGTGCTGTTCTTCTTTTCCAGTTCTCCGGAATACCTTATCGCGGGGTTTGTTTATTCCTGGTTATTCGACGACAGTTTGGACTCGGTTTGGACGACACAAGATGTCGAGCGGTCCAAGGTGATGCAATGAGGGCTTGACGGCAGACGTGTTAGACGCAGGGGATGTCACAGTAGTAGCAAAATGCGTATACAGCGGGACCGGCCGTATCAGGACACTCTTGGGACCATGGCTCTTTACGGGCGCGGGCGGAGTTGGCAAACCCGCAACACTGCGGCGTCCGCTTTGATACCACGCGCGGTATAAGGTCCGGCTGCACCGTGGGTTGCCTGCTTGCAGGAGTTTGTGACACAAATTTCCTACCTTTCAGACGGCTTACTAGGGACGGTGCCCCCCCCCCTTATACCGCGCCTGTTTGATACACCCGCCACACCCGCCCTCGCATACACAAGTGACGGATCTCACATCCATCGCCTATGGGCTAAAATCTCGAGAGTTATGTACAACACCACCCCAACCCCCATCCTTTGAACGTTGTGTAGTGTACGATTGCCACAAAGGCCACATTACAGATCGTGATATCCTTGCTTGCTGGCGCGATAGACAAAGGTCACTGGTGTTGTATGGACCTTGCGTTTTTGAACAGTCCCGTTAGGTCCTCGAGTCACACACGAAGGTACACTATTGGCCGTGAATGGCCACGACAGGCTCCACGCAAGGTCTAATAACGGGATCAAGTTGCCGCCCACAAATATAGTCGGAATAGATGATCATAAAAAGAGCGTGTCAAAGACAAGGATGGCCTTGCCGTTGACCCTGTGGGCCGCACGCCAGGCCGGCGCGTCCGAGGGCCCCGAGGACATCTGACCGATCTGATTGGCCAGCATCTACTACCGAGGTGGGTAAGTGGTACCGATAGTAGTGGACAGGGTGGGTGAGCAGACGTGCCCCCCCCCCCCTTTTCCCACCTCGTCGTCAGCCCCAAGCAGCCGCCTGAGACCGTGTTCTTGATACTCATTCCATAGTTCGTGTTCTTGATTTTCTTGAGTGGATTAGCGCTTGTTTTAGTAATATCCCAGGTAGAACACGTTTGTCAAAATGATGTTAAAATGACCTCATTTTGACCCTCATCGTCAGAATTTACTGCGCCTAGGTAGCCAGAATGGGCTCATTTTGACGTCAAATGAGGGTCAGTGACGAGTTTTTGACAATTGTGTTCTACCTGGGATGCTCTCTTTAACACCAGCTCGATGCACTCCGAAAAATCAAGTACACGACCAATGTTCGAAACTCAAGAACACCTTTTTTTTTGGGGGGGGGGGGAGCACCAGTGACCACGGCGCCGGACCTGACCTAAGGCACGGCCAACGGTCCGGGTGCGGATCTGGACCAGGAGTCTGCGTGTGTGTGGTGGGCACGACCAGTGCACGGCTAGGTGCGACCGACCGACACGCGATTCTGTGCCGATCACTACGAGTGGGAGCACCCCGCTCGCAGCCCCCACTCCCATTTACTCGCCCCC